AAAAAAAAACACACACACAAAAAAAATTAAGTACCTTTTCGGAATATCGGAATATCGCCAACCCAGAATTAAAAGTTAGCCGTAGGATCAATTTTTGTTGCATAAAAATGTTTTCCACTGCTTGTGTTTTGTGTAGTATTCAAACTAAAAATAAAAGGACAAACAATACAAACCGAAAACCTCCGAAAAGTTACAAAAATGAAATCAAAATTCTCGCTAATCCTTGGTACAGCTTAGTCGGGCTTTGAACAACCCGGCCCAGGTTACTATGCTCTTCTTTTTCTCGGAATCAAAACATCCCAAGATAAAGTCACCACTGAACGGACAAAAAGGGAGGGCCAGTTTTACTTGGCCTCTCTCCTAGCTTCACCATTGTATATTCCCATATCGGTTTTCGTACTGTCGTACTAATGTAGTGTTTGCTTCCTCATTTCAGATGGGAATTTTGTCCCAGAACACACTCGCCGAAAGAAGGAACTAGAAGAGATGGGGATCCTTCATCCGCTCAGAGACATCGTTCTGCAGTGCCTTGAAAATGACCCCAGCAGAAGACCCACAATCAATAAAGTCACTCAAGACTTGAAAAGAAACGACGGCAGTCAAAAACGAATCGAGTTAAAAATCGCTTTTCTTGGAAATTCCGGAGTAGGAAAATCGCTTTTAATAAAGCGATATATAGACAAGGATATTCCACAAGAATTTGTGAAGTCTACAATCGGTGTAGAACTGCACCCTGTGCCACTAGAGATTGGAAATCAACTGGTCATTCTCAGAATTGTAGACCCGGCGGGCCAGGAGAGGTTCGACAGCATTGCCCCGTCCCTGGTTAGAGGCTCGCACGGCGCTTTCCTTGTTTTTGATATCAGTGAGCCCCGAACATTTATGGACCTTCCAAAGCACATGAACTTTATCGGTAGTTCTTGTAATGAAAATGTGAAGGTCATGTTAATAGGGAACAAGAAAGATCTTCCAAGAGAAGTCGCGTTTGACCGAGCTAAAAGCTATGCTGACTCAAACGAAATGGAGTACCTCGAGGTGAGTGCTATGACACTTGAAAACCTCGAGGAAATGTTTGAGCGCTTGGCGAGTAGTATTTTAGACTCGCTTGACACAAGCGATGTACGTATTCTAGAAAGATCAGTGTCTCGTGTTCATCTTACAGGTGATAATTTGAAAACTAGTGAAACTAGAAGCCGGTGTAACTGTAAGTAACGGTGGCAAAATCGCATCGATCATAACAAGGAAGGTGTTACCCTGGTATTATTACGAGTGTGTTCTGATGCAAATGCTGCAATGTGATTGGCTGAGCTGTCATACTCTGTCAGTGTGCAAGGGCAGGAGGTTGTCCATAACTCAGGGGATGTTCTCTCATTTCTCCTATGTTTGGGACAAAGATTATGGGTTGATTCAATTTCCAAGAAGATTAGAGAAAGGAAATGATGGCCATTATGCAACTCAAAACCATAAAAATTGTCCAATAAATTGATGAGCTCATGTAAACAGCTGTAAGTTTCAAATGCTAAATTGTGTGGTTCCAGAAAATATAAATAAAGGAAGTATGAACCAAAACTGGAATTTCCAGAGGGATTGGGGGGTAATGACAAGCTGTTAGCCTTATCTGTTGGGGGGGTATGGATATTTTTCCAGAACAACACAATTTTATCTGTAAATGATTTTGCTTAATATGAAGTTTAATACTACTATGGCTTCATCTACTATCACTTCATGGAAATTTTGAGCTCATTGTGTTCACATAGTGTAATGCAATCCTAATCCAGTGTGTATCAAGTTTTTGAGATAGATTTGTTTGCCAATTTGGCCTCCCCACAGCAGGGGCAAATTACATCATGAGTGCATGTATGCAGTCACATATGTGCCATAGAGATTTGCAAAAAGTGTGTGTGATTTCTGCAAAGCTGAAGTTTGGCGCTGTGATTGCGACCCGCTTGCCTTTGGCAACAAGTAACCTAAAAGCATCAGGAGAGAATGTTTTGTTGCTCGGTGACAGCAAATGGCCACAAATTGTGGTAACAAATCAAATCTTCTGCATAGTTTGGCAAATGGCCATGAAATTGACCCTCAACCTGTGGTCACATAATAAATTTTTTGATTTATAGCTTGGCAAAATTGGTTTTAAGAAAACAAATTTGTGTTGTGTAACTTGCCAAAAGGCCATGTTTCAAGGTTGATTCACCATTTTCATTTGTGAAAACAAGAGGTAAATTCAAGCAATATAAAGAAATAGAAACCATTTGTCGACATGCTGTCTTGCAGGGCCCTGGTCAAAACTTTATTTTCTCAAGGAATATTTATTACACAGTGTCAGCAATCTGCAATTGAATTCTTAGTGTTGCAAACAGTTCAAATGCCTTTCCTAGAACATATTTTGTCCAGTACATCAGTTAATACTTGATTAATTAAAAACACTTTTACTACAGGCTATAATCTGTTCACTGCTAGTTCAACTTCACGTGCAGGTCATTATCTGTCATTCAAGCAATCTTAGTTTTCTATTGAGCCATTTGAATGCCACCAAAGTAGACCAAACATGCAAAGTAAAAGTGAACCCACTGCTCTAATCTTTGATTAATACTAGTAATTTAATAATTATTCATAATTAGGACTAGGGGAATTGCTTTGACCAGTAATCTATTGTTCAAGAGCCAGTGAAGTAACTCATTCAGACAGAGGGGTAGTGGGCGGCGACCCAAGAGGAAAATGGGTCCTGGTCAAAAATGGGAAAAGGCCTGGCTGGAGTGAAGGTTGACCTTAATCTCACTTTGGTAAGGAGTTAAAGAGGGAGTGTTAAAAGCGTTTTGCCCGTTGCACCAATTAAGATCTTAATTGTTTTTTTGGTAAATCAAAAGGGGAGGGGGTTGAGATACCCAGCAGACCCTTCCCCTAGGTTACAGTATGTCATGGTTCTGACCTTCTGCATTGACAGTAATTCATAACCAATTGAATTTATAAAGTTTATCTCAAACATTAGCTTCTGCTGTTGGAGGGGCAACGATAGAAGGGTGACAGGTCTGGTATGATGGCAGGGCTTGGATCACTGCAACAAAAATCACTGGACTTGCCTGGCCCTTTCAAACTTTCTTTATATTACAACCCTTGGGATTTGAATGGGTTTATATGTCAGACCCCTATTGCTGATGGTTACATGGCATTACGGAGGAGGAGGAGCTGGTGGGGCTAAAGGGTAGGGCCTGGTAGGGCCTTTTTTTCTTGGGTTGAATCTTAGGGTTTGCAAACGCAAGATAAATTGCCAAACAGTGATGGCTAGTATGTTTGTCTTGGCCAGATTTTGTTGCCCCACCACTTTAAAATGGTCTCTGTGGTTTCTACATTATTTATGAAATTATCAGCAGAATAGCTGCTCACACTCGGAAGTCACAGGGTAATGAGCGATTCAAATGTGGGTACCTAATTACAATACTATGTGAGTTGTGGAATTTCCGTCCCACTTCACACTGTATGTCAGTGCTTTCTCACAATTGTCACTAAGTACATGCATAGACAGTTCCAGGGGGGAGGAATGTAGGGTTGCTACCCACCCTTCCTTCGTGAGATGTTGTTTGGGCTTGTCCTGTCTTCATGAATTTAGACTGTTCGTTGGACAGTTACAATTCGTTCCTCCTCTGATGTCATGAGGTCTTTGATCTTCCACAACCAAATGTCCATTCAACAAGTTTTCACATGCTAGTGCTTTATCATATATAATTGCTTCTAACAAAAACAGGTGTGTTAAGCCTTGACTGCTTATCCTTGCTATTTTTCCTGGCTATTTTCTTGGTCGTGAATAACTTGATTATAGTGATGACTAGAATGTAGATTTTGGTCATAATAAGACATTGATCATGAATAACCCTGTTCTGTTTAAAGAATGCCTTGCCTAGTTAAGTGTTTATATGCCAGCACCAGCAAATATATAGAGGATATTACACGGTGGCGAGAAGATGTGAATTTTATGTTCAAGTGGCAAGAACAATATTTCACGAGTGAGCGTAGCAAACGAGTGAGATATTGTTCTTGCGACGAGAACATAAAATTCATATCTTTGAGCTTACGTGTAATGTTCTTTTTATTGCAAATACTGATGACGGCGGTTTTGACGATTATACAAGGATTTCCAACCACTTTCCGAAGATTTCCGAAGATTCTCCAAAACTTGCCCGAAGGTCACACGAACGTTGACGAACATTTCCCGAAAATCTCCGAAGATTACCGAAGATTTCCGGAAATTACCGAAGATTGCCGAAGACTTTCGAGGAAGATCC